ATAGTTTTGGAAATCAGAAAATACCAGGAAAAGGGAGTTGTCAGAAAGTCAAACGCTTCAGGTAAGGATCTTTATTTATCTTAATAATAAATATTTAGGTTGTCACAAGAAGGAGAAATGGAGATACCGATATCAAAAGACGAAGAAGAACAACAAAGAGAATCCAGAAGTAGAATACAGGAAGAAGTTCCCATTCAGTTAATTTTATAGGAAAAATTAGATGATTTTCACATTAAATATGAAGGATTATATAGGAATAAATTAACAGTGGAGGAGAATAGCAGAAACAAGATTCAAAGATAAATCAAGAATTGGAATTTAGATAAGCTAACTGATGGAATGCAAACTAATTACCTTAATCTGAACCAACAATAGAGATTAGCATTTGTTTTTATGGTCAATAACCTTACGATGACTTTTAAAGAAAATGAAGATGAAAGAAGATATGAAGGAACATTCATACATGGCCCAGGCGGAGTTGGAAAATCTTATATCATAGCAACCATTGTGAAGTTTTCAGAAGTGTTTTCTATTAGATATGCAATACTTTGCCCAACTTAATTTGCAGCACAAAATGTTAAGAAAATGTGTGAGAACATTGGAGTTAAAGAAACTTATGTGGAAACAATACATAGTTTTTTTAAATTGAGAATTGATCAGGGGATAAAATCACATATGCACTCTTTCAGGGATCATTTGGGAAAACAGGGGATTACAAAATTCACACACACCACAGAAATTTATCAAAAATTTATGAAGTTCTAATTTGTAAATTTTTCTTAATTGGTGGAACTATTTCGAGAATTAGACTTAATAATTGTAGAAGAAGTATCCATGATGGACCCAGATTTTCTATCACTTTTAGACATTTATGGATAAATTAGTAGATAATGCGCATATCCCTTTGGAGGTATTCAAGTGTTTGTTTTTGGGGATTCATTCCAATTACAACCAGTGATGAAGGGAAGATCAAATTATTTTGATTCGCATGTGTTTAAAAGCGGATACTTCACACATATGTTGGAATTGACACAAAGCGTCAGACAAGCAGAAGATTTGGATTACTTTTAGAAAATTTTATAGCCAATCAGATTTGGAATTTTTGGAGAGGAAGCGAACGAATTTTATTCTTAGATGAAAAAATTGGAAAGTAGAGTTTTACCTAAAAACTTTTGCTTACCAAATTAGGAATTGAAGAAGGAATTGGAAGACAAAAAGATGGAGCATCAATCAGTGATTTCACTTTACTTTAAGAATGAGAACGTAGATTATGAGAATGAAGAAAGAAATTGAAGAGAAGAGAAGAAAAGGGAGAATCAACAACAAGAAAAGATTTAGATAATACATCAAGCAACCTATTCAATTTAGGTGGAGCAATCAGAAGACAGAAGAGGATACAATGGCATTATTTTTAGGATAAAATTATGAGTTTAAGAAGGAAGTGTATGAAGCCAATTTCAATCACTAAACTCATTACCTAATGTTGCCTATTGGGATAAGGAACTTTATAGCAAAACAACTTGGATAAATTGCTTATAGAATTGCAATTAAGTAAGAGGAATTGAACAAGACTTCTTGTTTATAAGAATTAATTCTATTTGAAAAGGAGGAGATTATTATCAGAAAGAATTTAGAAAAACAAGCAAACTTGATCAATGGATAATTTGCTACAATAAAGAGTTTAGA